AACTGAACGAATTTACCGCACTAAACAAATGTTAATGTACTATTAAATAAAGAGCTCTTAACGAGCAAATAATAAAAGGTATAAAATATTTGTATGCATATACATACATAAATAATAAGTATTAATTTATTTTGTGTTAATAATTGTAAATCTGTTGTATATTCTCATAGTTGCGATAGGCTGTGTATATATAAAATTTATTGGATAACTTAAGTTCTACACTGGACTAATTCTACTATAACAATTGAAAATGCAGTATTATTTTGCAATTGTATAATCAACATTCATGAAAATAACATAAGGTTTTGTAAAAGAAAATAGTACTATCTAGAAAGAACAACTCGCACATTATTTGTGATCTCCAATGAAGATACGCCGTAAGTCCTATAGCATTGTTACTATCATAGTGATATGTGACACAAATATGTGTTTGGACAGAGTACGTAAAATTTATTAATATGCAATACATATTAGTCATCGATTAAAATGAAGTTTATAACGTACGGTAATAATATTGGTTACCTTAACAGTTTAAGATAAACAAATAATAATAAACAATAAACAATTAATTAATTAAACAAAAACATAAACAATTAATAATAAACAATAATTACATATTAAACAATTTTATATTTTACTAAATATTTTTTCGTGAAATGTAAACTATTATATATAAATAAAAAATTATTAATGTAGATTATTTATAAAAAGGATGTGAATGTATAGTAACTTCTTACATTTTTAGTAATATTTGGATTATGTGACACTAGCTGATGTACTGTAGAATCAGTTAAGACTTCCGTTTATAAAACTTAAGTCTCTTCCGGTCGTACAGCACACCGAGCAAGATGGGTACGTAATCAAATCTTGAAATTATATTGTTTTTACAGTATTAAAATGTAAATTGTAAAATGTGTGGAGTCTTTTAATGTATGTAGTTATAATTTTCTTAAAAATATTATAACAATTTCCTAAATAGTCAATTTGGAATTGTATGAAAAATAACGTGGTTGCTTGTGAATATTAATAAGTAGATACTAGTAAGAAATACAGTATCTTATTTATTGTTTTGTAATAAACATTCTCTTTTAATGTGCAGTATAATATATTAATATACATAATATGTTGAGATTAATTTTAAATCTAAAGAAAACATTGATCAATATTGAAACATAACCTAACCATTTAAATCCGTTGCAGGTAAACCTCGTGGTCTCCGTACAGCACGTAAACACGTCAATCACAGACGTGATCAACGCTGGAATGACAAAGACTACAAGAAAGCTCATTTGGGAACCAGATGGAAAGCTAATCCTTTTGGTGGTGCTTCCCATGCAAAGGGCATCGTTTTGGAAAAAGTGTATGTTTATATACTACAATTATTTATACAGTGATATCCATGCAAATACTAATAGCAACTAATTTTATGTTATAGTGGAGTAGAAGCTAAACAGCCAAATTCTGCTATTCGCAAATGTGTCAGGGTACAACTTATCAAGAATGGTAAAAAGATCACAGCATTTGTGCCTAGAGACGGTTGTTTGAACAACATTGAAGAGAACGATGAGGTTTTGGTAGCAGGATTTGGACGTAAAGGTCACGCCGTTGGTGATATTCCAGGGGTCAGATTTAAAGTTGTCAAAGTGGCTAACGTTTCTTTACTTGCACTTTACAAAGAAAAGAAGGAACGACCTAGATCGTAAAATCATTGTCATGTATTTGTAATTACATCTATAAAGACCTTCAGAAAAATATTGAGATTTTATTAACCCTCAACCAGCGGAACCAGGCAATCCTTACCAGGGGATGCCATCAACTTTCATCAAAGAGATGATGAAAAAGAAAGCAGGACTATAATTCCATTATCTGCCATGTTCGAAACAGATACACCTCTGTTCTCTTCATTATAGCTTCGACTAAGATATGACAATTGAAGCTAATTGACTTCATCCCACAAATTGTTACAAATACATTACATATGATTAACATCTTTACAAACAAGTCAGATGAAATAAAATATCATAATTATAAAATTTAACGTAATATTATAAATCATCAACACGTATATTCATAATTGTTCCCGTGGAAGTAAGAATATCTACAATAATTTTGTTTAATGGTGTGGTCATTTTTTCTATCCCATCTGGTACGGTTGTATTGCATATTTCATCTTTTGCTTTCAAAAACTGAAAATTGAATTAATTTGATGTAAAAAAAATCTGTTGAATTATACATGAATACATATAAAACGACGTCACCTGTTTTAAAGAAGAAAAATTTGAGTATAGATCTTCAATGTCAGAATCCATGGAATAAAGACTCTTTATAGATTTCTCTTTTACTACTGGCAAAGATTCAACTGAGAAAGCATCTACAAATTTTGTATTCTCCGAAGTAAACATTACATTTCTATCATTCTCAGAAGTCACATCTTCATTTACCTGCAATTATGTCAGAATCTAAATTTTATTATATCATTATTATTATATTATAAACATTGCAAGTAAACATTGCATTTCTATCATTCTCAGAAGTCACATCTTCATTTACCTGCAATTACGTCAGAATCTAAATTTTATTATATCATTATTATATTAAATTTTATTATATCCTAATTGGTAAAATTAGTATATTAACATACCTTTAGTGGCAATTCTATTTCTTCTATACTATGTTCTTTATCACTTTCTGTACTCGAACTTGAATTAGTATATTCATTCAGTACTTTTTTTATATTATCAAAGTATTGCAGAGATTCAACATAATTTAATTTTGGTTTAACAATAGCCAGCATTCTATCAGAACTTTCATCATTCAAGACCTAATACATATTGAATAGTTCTGATCATAAGTATATATATATATAAATTAACTACATCTTACAGATTAATTTGTATACCTGCAAAATATCATCAATGGGCTCTACTTTAGTATCTGTATCATTGGACGATTCGACAAACATCGATTTCATATAATCCAATATCAAGTTTAAGGTAGAATGTTGTTCTTGCGGTGAACAATTTCCCTACAGAAAAACAATAATTACTTCCATTAATAAAAACACAGAAAATTTTAAATGCACACACACTTACCAGCAAAATATCCTTGTCATTGCAAATTCCAATTTTACAATAATATTGAACTAATCTTGCTATAAAAAAAAATGTTCTTTTTAACATGTACAATATCATAAACAATGTCTCATTAATTTAGTAACAATATCATTAAAAACCTTCTAGATCAGATCCTTTCAACGTTTGCAGCTCAGCTGATATTTTTTCACACTTTCTTGCCAGTAGCCAAGACAATAAAGAAATACGATTTTCTCCTGTAAGAATTGTTATTTCCATATTTTCAATTGTCGCTGTTGTAATGTTAGGATATCTAATTTGTACTAAAGTATTGTAAATGTCAGTCAGTAATTCTCTTTTATGGTTCATTATTAAGGTTTGTGTAACAGTCTTATCAATGTTAACTTTCTACTTAAAAATTCTAGTCTTCAACACAGATCGCTGTTTGTTTCTAATATTTTTTCAAGTTAACTATACTTTCTCCCGGTCAAATTCAAGAGAAAAGCATCGTATGCAATTGTCTATATATATATATATATCATGAATCTAAAGGACGTTTACATTGGTAGCCGTTGGTAGGCGAAATAAGTAGCGCACTCTACAGGCAAGATTAGTTAACAGTCATTACATACGGTTGTTTACATCGTACCGTCAATCAATCAGCACGCATGAAACTAATTTTGCGTCCGTGACACATACTGTTCAGAAGAATTGTTCAGGAGAATTAACAGTGTTGATATCGTATACAAAAACAAATAACAACATTGCGAAACGTAATTAAGGGATTAGACTCCCTAAGCAAGGAAATGAAGGTAAAGGACGCAGTTACTTTTTTCGCTGTTTAATGGTATCATTCGAAAGAGGAATTGCTTTACTTTTGCAGCGATGGATCAAAGATGAAGCAATGATGAAGCAATGGTGTCGTGTACTAATGCAGAAGAAGTATAAGAAACAATTAAAATCCTACAAATTAATCATCAATGAACGTAGCATAATAACATCATCAATGATCAGAAAATATCAATATCAAAAAGGATTCAAGCAGCTATCAGCTCGGTATCATCCTCGACTCAAAACTCATTGCAATTTGCAAGATATTCTGAACCAAGGATGATACCGATTGCCCAGGTCTCACCGCGAGGAGGTTGCTGCTTTAGAGACCCGAAAGGGAGTCAGAACGAAGCCGGAATTCGTTATGGCTCCCTTTCTTACAACGGCGACTTTATAAGCTAACACACTCATTTGCCACCTAGCTAGAACATACCTACATTTCTTTGAATGATTGAATATTGTGGAGAAAAGAAGTAAAATTTAGATGAACTTTTGAAAGAATTAAATAATACTCATTCTTAAGAGAAATCTTTATTAAAAGTCAGACTCGATCAAGTACGGCAAGAGGTTAGAGATGCTAAACTAAGATACACTCACTTATTAACTAAAACGCATCCCACGGCGGATGATAATCCTTCGGCGGATGAAAATCCCACGGCGGATGATAATCCTACGGCTGATGATAATCCCATGACAGATGATAGTATCTGTAATGAACCAGAAAAGTTTGAATTCTAGTTAGTATGAATACAAAATAGGTGACAAGTCGAAACGAGTGCCAAACTAACTCGCACACGAGTGCAATTTTTGGGAAAATGGAGGAAACGAAATTATGGAAAATTTGGAAAATTTTGGCGAAAATATGGAATCTGCAACGCATCCCACGGCGGATGATAATGTCTGTAATGAACCTGAAACCATTGAATTCAAATTAGTCTGAATATAAGTCGAAATAGGAAACCTAAGACCAGCACACGAGTGCCACACTAACCAGCACACGAGTGCATTTTTTGAGAGAATGAAGGAAACGAAATTATGAAAAATTTGGAAAATTTTGGCGAAAACATGGAATATGCGACGCATCCCACGGCGGATGAAAATGTCTGTAATGAATTCAAATTAGTCTGAATATAAGTCGAAATAGGAAACCTAAGACCAGCACACGAGTGCCACACTAACCAGCACACGAGTGCATTTTTTGAGAGAATGAAGGAAACGAAATTATGAAAAATTTGGAAAATTTTGGCGAAAACATGGAATATGCGACGCATCCCACGGCGGATGAAAATGTCTGTAATGAATTCAAATTAGTCTGAATATAAGTCGAAATAGGAAACCTAAGACCAGCACAAGAGTGCCAAGCTAATCCGCACACGAGTGCAATTTTTAGGAAAATGGAGAAAACGGAATTTAGCAAACTTAAATTAAGAATCCTAACAACCTACAAGCGCCTCTGGTACCTCGGGGACGCTACCCCCCGTACTCGCCCACGGGCCCCATCCGTGAGCGAGCCCCTGAGGGACCTCCGATCGGAGGAATACCAACTTGATCAATTTTTGGACGAAATCTTGTTTCGAAAGCCGACTTAAAATATAAATCGGCAACAGCGCAAGAGTGCAATTTTTGAGAAAATGGAAAAATCGTAATCTAACAAACTTAAATTAAGAACGCTAACGTCCCCCCCACGTGAGGAGATTGACTCCGAATATGAGCATTACAATTTGATTTTGTATGCCAGAGAGAAAATCAAAGTGAAAGTGGCAATGAAATGTTGCAGCGATCCTTGGAACGGCTACTCGCAGTGCGGCATTTATTTCGCGACTCTAACACAACGCGTTGGCAATTTTCGCGACTCAAACACAGCGCATTGGCAATTTCTCGCGACGCTAACACAACGCGTTGTTAATTTCGCAGGTTGTCGAGGATGGAGGGTCACCAGACATTGTCGAATGCGCCAGCTATATCAAATAGTACACCAATCACGTATCTCTCTCGGCTTTGCGATGTGATCCGCCTGACTCTAACAATTGCTTCCTCCGTGGATCTGGCTGAACGGAAGCCGAACTGCTGGTCAGAGGTATTTGGATGGTTCTCGAATATGTCCTTTAACTTTTCTGCTATCAGCCTCTCCAGGACCTTGCTGAGTACCGGAAGGAGGCAGACTGGCCTGTAGGATTTGGAGTTAGCAGGGTCCTTTTCTTCGTTCTTTAGGAGAACTTTAATTTCACCCCGCTTCCACCTTTCTGGAAATGTCGCCGATGAGAGACACGTGTTGTACAGTTGGGTGATCTCCGCGTGCAGTATGGGCCAGGCCCTTTGCAGCTGCGGCATGGGCTCTGAAAGACGAACGAAGCTATTGCAACGCGATTATTCTCGTAACGCTAACTTCGAAACTAATTCGAAGACAAATCGCGATAATTCGTTTTGTAACGCTAGGATGCAAAAATCGCGATGTGCCCAACCGAGCCGATCGTTGGGACCTCGGTCCATTGTTGCAGCCGCGGAATGGGTGCCTGAAAAGTCGAACGAAGCTACTGGCAACGCGATTATTCCGACGCTACGCTAATACAACGGACAGAAATCCGAAAGATTTTACTTTGCTTTCTGGAAAGAACGAGTTTGTAGACTTTGAAAAATCTGATAGAATCATAAAGTTGAAACGCGATTAGCTCGCGACGCTATATTCGCGCTGGATAATTCGAAGAAAAATCGCGACTATTCTATTCGCGACGCTACGATTTCTGTTCAAAATTAATTACAGCAACGCGTGATCAATTCGCAACGCTATGGCAAGTCGCGGATGTGCCAATCCGAGCTGTTGGGGCGGCGAGGTCCTTCGTTGCAGCCGCGGCATGGGCGCCTGAAAAGTCGGAAGGGAAACTATTGCAACGCGATTATGTCGTCGCGACGCTTATTCAATGAACAGAGATGGAAAAGCGAGCGGACTTTAATGATCTTCGAAATTTTCTAACTTGGAACGCGATCGTATTTATTCGCAACGCCGGCTCGGTTGGGAACATCGCGATTTTTGCATCCTAGCGTTGCGAAACGAATTATCGCGATATATACTATAATATTATAATACTATTTATTTATATATATATATATAATATACATAATAATATACATGATAATATATACAATAATTTTTGTCTTACAACAGTATTAACTTGAAAATAAAGAACCTGAAAATTCTAGCTAAAATGGGGTTATTAGTTTCGAATTATTCTTCAAAATTAATCTGTTTCGACGAATGCCCGCGAATTTAATTGCTCGAGAAGTAACGATAATAGTAATGGCAATTAGGTAGTGGAAGTAACAATGACAAAAGTATTGACAAGGGTAACGGCAATAGTAATGGCAAAAAGGTAGTGGAAGTAACAATGACAGAAGTATTGGCAAGGGTAGCGGCAATGGTAATGGCAAAAAAGTAATGGAAGTAATAATGACAGAAAAGTATTGGCAAGGGTAACGGCAATTGAATTCGAACGGAAAATGCGAATTATTATTGAAAAGAATACATCCTAACTAGATATACGATAGAATTCGCAACAAGTATGTGGTCACTGTATTCGAAAAAATTGGGAGAACTACTGGTAAAATAAGAGCATGCGACTTACGTTTCGATGCGATGTTGGTTCTGGAATTTGTAGTAGGAAGAAGTAAACGAATGTAGCAGCGGAGTAGCAGTAGCATCAGCAACGGAAGACAGCAGTAGGAAAGATTTAAGATTTTAGAAGGACATTTAAGATTTTAATCGAAAATATTAATTGCTATTTGAAAAAGACTTGGAGATGATCGGAAACCATTTGGAAATTCCCGTTGATATTAGAGATACGATTTTGACAAATAACTATTAATAATAATTTTGCCGAATGTTAAGTAAATTTAGATTCGAATTAAAAAGAAAATTTAACTTTGATAGTTGTTTAATCAATTAAGTAATTAATTAAGTAATAATGAATTGATTGAGTAATAATGAATTAATTAAGTAATTTCACGCACTAATTATCCTTTAAAATTATATTACATCTTAATTCTTAACAATTTAATTTGTTATAATTTCAAATTTGGAAGAGCTTTCCTGAAACGCGATTAATTTCCCGCATTAATTTTCCTTGAAAATTATATTATGTCTTAATTCTTAACAATTTAATTTGTTATAATTTCAAATTTGGAAGAGCTTTCCTGAAACGCGATTAATTTCCCGCACTAATTTTCCTTGAAAATTATATTATATCTTAATTCTTAACAATTTAATTTTTTATAATTTCACTTTTTGGAAGAGTTTTCTTAAAACACAACTGATTCCCTCATTAGACAAATTGCGACTAATTAATCAACGACTTTGGGTCGAGCGAGCAGCCGCAGGATACCCCCGCCACTGACTTTGACTTCGACGATAGCGCGATCGACGGCGATCGATAATTTCAATAATTTCGATCATTTCCAATTATTTAATATTCGTGATAATTTATTTTGCAATAATACTATCGGTTGCCCGAAAAATTATTTCATCACTTAAATTGTTCATGAAAAGTACCAACGAGGTTTAATTAACAAGAGACATGCATGAATCGATCGAATTGTTTTAAGTTATTATATCGAATTGCTTTCGTTAATTAATTTATTATTTCTTACTTCTTAATATTTGCAATAATTCTGCTTGTTAGAAGTATGGTTAAGAAGTACACTGGCTATTTTGCCATTTAATTTGCTCGCGAAGATAATTGATAGAGTGAGGAATATGAATTAATTTTTGCAAGCACGATCGTTTCGCGAAATTGTTGCAGCGGACTAGCTTCGTTAATAAATTCATTGCCTTTCAATCTGTAATATTTACGAGAACTATTCTCGCCGACGATACTGTTAAGCATCCCCGTGGCTATATCATCTCGCGACGGAAGTAATTAATAAGGTGAAACAGACGAAATGATTGTCGAAGCACGAATTTATCGAAGAATCGTTTCGTCGAAGATATTCTATCCATACATTTATTAATTCCAGCTGTTTATTAATAATTGTAAGAATTTCTTTTGCCGAAGACCAGCTTCTAATGCTCTCCCCTCTCTTTTACAATCCAATGTTTAAACAAATATAGCTAATAGTACTCGAGGTTTAATATTCATGAAAATTCGTTTCGCCAATGATATTATTAAATACAGAGTGATTTTTAAAGCACGAATTTATACATTTGTTATTTCTAGCTGTTTAGTAATAATTGTAAGAATTTCCTTTGACGACGACTACCTTCTAATATACTATCCTTTCTGTTTTACAATCCATTGTTTAACACGTTGAATGCCACGCCGGTTTTGCAGAAATTGTCCGTGGCGCCACGATGAATTTTTCTTTTATGTGATACATATAATGTTGAAATATTATCTGCAATAGATAAGTTACAGTGTATAACCATGATTGACATGTTAATGGCGACAGGGGTCACTGTTTGAATCGACGATGGTAATAATACAAAATTTTAGATATTGACATTTGTTTTAAATTATATATATTTCTATCAATTTGGGCGCGCCGGTCACCGGTGGCCCCCATGGCGTCACCGCCAAGTTAAGTGCCGTTCATCGGTGACCTCCGTGGCATTCAACGTGTTAAACAAAAATAGCTAATAGAACTCGAAGTTATGGCAAAAGTAATGGAAGTAATAATAACAGAAGTATTGGCAAAAGTAACGGCAAATTAGGACAGGAGCAGCAATAGCAGCAGCAAAGGAAGACAGCAATAAAAGAGAGGAAGCAACAGCAAGAAGTGCAGCAAGAAGTTTCCATAACTCGGACAGCAAGTCCGATTTATGATCTTAATCGAAAACATTAATTTCCATTTGGTAAAGATTTGTAAAAGAGTTTTGCCGCTGGCCCAATCGGTGCTGCACGGACATCGAACGGAGCTTGATGTTGAAAACGTTAATTATCAGCAAATTTGGGCATATAAAACTAAACCAAGGGAATCGGGAGATGCATGTGCGCATCTGTACAATGCATCGTTCGAAGCAGATTGCATAATATTAAAGAAAAATTTCACACAACATATCATCGTTTAATATTAAACTAAACTTTAATAGATAATCTATTATCAAACTATTCTTTTAACATTTATTTTCTACAGCCGATATTTAGTCGCACATAAATATTATTAACGTCGTCCGAGATTCACGTTTCTCTCTTAGTTCGGTACCGCGCACACGTTTTATACAGTCAACCACTTTATTAAAATAGAAAAGAATAATACAACATTTTCAGATGTACGTCCTGGAGATGAATAGTACAATAGTTAGTAGAACGCAGAGGGGCTCGAGGTGTTTCTTATAGCTGGAGCTTCCAGATTGTACAGAATGAGTCACTCCTCCAGGAGAATATTCGCGTGGCTTATTTGTAGCTGGAAGGGGTCTCTCCATCGAGCAGACGGTGTTCTTTATAGCTTCCCGAGAGGAACCGCTGAGAATTCGGAAATTGTAGTCGTCAGGGTTCAGATGGGCGTACATGAAAGTCGGCAGACGATCCGAGAGCACCCAGATCTGGCCATCTCTGTCGATCTGCAATGAAATGACAATGGAACATCGCGATGTCTCGACGAATAGCTCACGAGTTCTATCAATAATCGTGTCAAGTAATTCTTTACAAACAGGAGTTAGATACATTAACTGTTGGGTCAAGTATAAAGTCTGTTGTCGGTACGAAAATATCTAATATTTAATTAAAGTTTTCAGTAGGTGTATCTACTTCTTGATTGACCAAAAGTAGGAGATAGTAGATAAGATCGACGTACTATTATTTGATCTTTATTACATCCTTGCGATAACAGAACAATTACCTTTAGATCGTTGGGGAATACCATTGTAACGTTGTCCATGTAAATGAAGTCCTGTTGCTGAGTGGTGAACGCATTTTGTGGTTTCCAACAAGCAATGGCGTTCATATTCGTTAAAGCGTAAAAGAGAACACCAGTGTCCTGATCCAGGAAGCTCACGCTGCTCTGACCATTGTTTCCCCGAGATCCGAGGCTATGGAATTCGTTGAAGCTTTCTGTAATGTTCGAATAATCAGTTTAAAAGATATGATATTATTTATATCTATTATATTATATATATTATATTATATTATATATAATAATATATATAATAATAGTTCGATTTTTCAAAATGATTTGATATAACGATGTCCACAGTGGGATTTATTTATGGCTCGATAGAAGCTATAAATAATATAAATAATATAATATATATACATATATATATATATATATATATATATATATATATATATATTATTTTTATATATATATATATATATATATATATATATATATATATATATATATATATATATATATATATTATATTATTATATTAT